TGCTTTCATTTTTAGGATATTTCTGTTGTAACAAATTATTCACAATTACTATGTTAATTTCTATGTTATTGAGTTCATAAAGTGTTTAATTCTCCCACTATAATATATGAACATTAGTAAGTTGGATTCACTGTTAATTTATGTCACCAATAAACACTAAACATGTGCCACATCCTCACAGTACAGATTAGGACATATGTCCTGCACAGGCGGTGTGTTTAAACAAAAAAAACAAAACAATTGTTAGTTCAAAATTGTAAAAAAAATTCTACATCTGGACTCTTGTACATAAGATACAGCTGTAGACAGTTTAACTGATTGCTTGAAACTGCTTCAAAACTCTTCATGAGTACGTATTAAATGAACAACACTAATGTGAAGAGGAGACTTCACATGAATATTCACTTTGAGAAAATAAAGCAAGAGTGCATCTAGTTAGAAGGACCAAAATGAACGGATTGTTACAAATTTGCAACACTCCAAAAAACATCAAGAAGGTTTCAGTTAAGTTTCTATCCTTGGCTCAAGTGTTGGAGGCTTGATTGTTTCTCTGGGGAGTCTTATCAAGCTTAGAAGACTTTGATCGCTGAACAACATATTCTGACAGGTTTATCTCAGAGTCCAAAATGCCATAATTTCCTCTTGCACTTCCTGTATGTGTGTGTGTGTGTGGGGGGGGGGGGGGTGCAAGCTTACAGCTGGTCCCGGTCCCAAGTCTTTATTTATTTATCTACTTTTTTATTTTAATGATCAAGGTGTTGCCTTGATTGAAAAAAAAAGGTTCTCTGGTGTCACTAAGGAAAAAAAAAGTTTGCTTTCAATGGTGGAAGGTACAGTCAAGACAATTCATATCATACAATTTGGATCACGCTTATCAAACTTAGTTAAGAATTCAGCCTTTTTATCTTTAAAATAATAAACAACAATGACATTCACTAAGCAGGTAAGCAAATACATTTTGGGACATAAGGTGTCCTCTATTTTAAATCTCAAACATATAGAAGGAGTTTAACAATTATTAAAACCCATAGAGCTTTGTTTCTGCTACATATAACCCTTGGAAATTCAGAGACATGGTCCACTTCTACACCTCTTTCTGTGCTGGAGAAGGACCTGACAGGCGAATGACACCACGGTTAGTCAGGTGACATAAACTGGTAATCTGTGCTGTGCTGCATCGCCATGGAAACATGCATGCCAGTAAGTACTGGGGATGGCAGGGTGCGTCTTTTCATGGCTCCGTTACACCCGTCTGACTCACTCATACACACATAACACACGCACGGCTGTCATCACAAAAACCTGATTGCAAAACATCATTAGCAGCGTGCCAGACTCAGCTGGAGCAAACTGGCCATCAGTTTGAGCCCCAAACACAGACTGGTCCACAGATTGCCCTGAAAGGATAACAGCTGACAGCTTAATTACAGTACGCTCCGCTCTTTTTTCCATTTATTTCTCTGGTCCAGCTCCACCTGGTTTCCTAAACAGGCCTTCAATTATAATGCCTTATTTTCTGGTTTTGTTTTTGTTTTTTGTTTTTTATTTGTTCTAATCTTCCTGATTCAGTCTGTTTAAATCTATACTTTAGGCAGATGGCATCAGACCTGCCTCCACTAGGACATAGGGACGGTCCCAAGAGGACAAAAACACAGAAGAAACTGTGAGGAAGAAACAGACATTAGAAGCAAAGAGGATAATCCAACATGTTAAGGAGAGGGAAAGGACAGCAGATTAATGGAAAAAGATAAATATATAAAAAACTAGAAAGCAATATGAAAAGGGCAGTAAAATGACAAGGTGAATGTAAGACAAGTGGTCTCTTCTTCTTTTACTGACAAATGTGGTTAATGTATTTCATCCTTTTTAGAAAAAAACCTGAGATACATCATTATCATTCATGACTTCCCACCAAGCATTCAGGTCTGTGGTTTTCCCAGTCAAGCCTCAGCTTGTATGAAAATTTGGCCCACTTCATAAAAAGGAATACATTGACGAGACTAACTGTCAAAGCTGAAGGCTAAATAGGATAAAAAGTAAAAGACAGGAACTTCTGACACCAAAAACGCCCCAGCTGGTGACCATACCATGCCATTTAGATCCTGTCCACTTCTAATTTATATTCATTAACAATTCCTTTGGAAGATACGTACTTGACTGTCTAAGGTGCCATATTGTCTTCAGGCAACAAACTCATTCCTGACAGCTTATATCTTCACACGTATCCCTATGACGCACGCAATGCTTAAAAAAAATAAATAGAAAGGTCCAAGATGGTAAGGCCATTTTACTCCACTCTTACAAATGGCCTCACTTTTGCTAGAGTGGGAAAAAAAAAAAGTATAGCGATAGGTGATAAATTTCAATAAAAAGAAAATGTTTACATTATTGTAAAACCGAATGATAGCAAATTAATATATGGCCTAGGTTTAACCTCAACCTTTCTGCAGCAACTTGAGAAATAGGTGGTAAGAAATATATATCATAATTTTGCTGCGATCCAGAGAGGCGTGACATATTTGTAATGTTGGTTGTAATGAAAAAGTTCAAACCATTAAGTGGATTTAGTCTGACTTGAACCACACTTAAAGCACTATTAATCCTTAATTAGCCTTTTTTTTTATGATAAACTGTACAAACAGATGTCTCCATGTCTCAGGCATTATTGTGATTCCACAGAAGTCAGAATCCTGCCACTATATCCAAAAGCTGCCTTTTCTGTGCCCTTCTTCCATTAAAAAATGGTTACTGCATCTGATTTTTGCTGTTGGGGATGTGAACTGACCACAGCAATTCTACTCTGTGCAGAGGTATTCGCTTAGCAACTGACAATGAATTTTAAGATTTTCTTATGAGAAATGAAAACAAATCATGGTTTTCTCCATTTTAGAGGGTCATAAAAAAAATTGTTAAATCATTAAAATTGGATAAAAACAAGTCTGCATCATCCCAGTCTAGTAAAATGATTACGGTAAGTCCTTTTGTGTCAGTCACATGACCTAAAAGCTATGCGACAAAATAAATGCAACAAAACTGGACAGAATGGACTGCAAGGGGACTATATGCACAAGCAGAAACATTTAAAATGGTATAACTACCTTCCACAGCACTAGTAAGCAGTATGTTCTACTAACAAACAGCTTTACAAACACTTTTTAAGCAATGGCTGCTTAACTGATTGAAATTTGGATGAAGTTTGCTTCAGTGCAAGCGCCTCACTTTTAATCATTTTAATAATTTCCTAAAGTGGGATAGTTTTAGATTCCCCTGAATTAAATTCTGTAAATAAATAAATAAAAAAATAAGAAGAATAATAACTTTTTTTTTTTTTACTCCTTTTAGGGACCTTCAGCTATTCCTTTAATAATCAGTTGATCGAAAAAAACAGTTTAGCTAATTAGCAAGATAATCATCACTTGGGGGCTTAAGCCAGGAAACTGCAACCAAACAACCGTTTAGAAAGTCTGTTTATTAGTCCGTACAAACTAAAGCAGTCTGATGACTGAGGTTCCCATCTAAGACGACATGAACCACTGCTTTACAAAATTCAAACTAATTGAAAGAATCATTGAATAGACTTTTAATAGTTTAAGAAGAATCAAAATATTTCATTCGGGACTCAAGACTGCAGATCTAGATGAAAACTGAAATTATTTTAAAAACATCAGAATGTTGAATCATTTTCCAGTGGAATAAGTCATTTTCAAAATGCAAAATATGAAAGTAAGTGAAGCTGTCAGGCACAAAGGACCATTTCTTCAGATTTTGTTCACATGAGAAAAGCATCAAGGTCAGATAAGAGGAACACACAGGAGTTACAGCCTACTATACAAGACTGGACTGTTAGGATTGTCATCTATGGTTACTAGAATAAATGCCAAAAAATGTTGGCTACCTACATAATTTTGATCTTTTTGCTTGTTTTGTTCTTTTTATAACTGCAGTAAGATCTTAATATATGAAAATACTTCAATTATTTTATTAAATACTGAAAGTAAGTAAATTTGAATCCACTTTTTTCTGTGGAAATTTACGGATGTAAATTTACATCCACTGGGCACTATGACCAGTGTCAGGTATGGCCATCTACTGTTATAAGACACCTTCCAACAGGCTGAAAATAGGGCGGCACAACATTAGAAAAACGTGACACTGTAGTGTTTATAATGATGTTGATCATCATGTTACTGATGCATAATAATAACTAAAGTTTCACCTCCAGTGGAATATAAATCTGGCATGCAAAGTCTGAAATTGGATCAACGAACAAATGTGGCATCCTGACTCTTTGCAATAAGACTGCACAAATTAATATTAGAATGACACAAACATAATCTTATCCCAAGGTGAAAGAGCGACCTTAAAATCCTACAGGTTTGCTCTGGCAGAATGAGGCATTATTTTTACAGATGGAAACTCCAGGACACAGTCCAGACTGAAACACCATTAGATATTCTTCGGGATGTTTTGAAGAAGAATAGAAGAGAGGCTCCAGCCCGTCCATCAGCAAAGGAAGCCAAAGGTAATTTTAGAAAAATGTCTGTAGATATTACACTAACATAAAGACAATCCCATGTTGCAAACAAATTCAACAGCTTGATGGAATTTCCTGTGTTAATCTTAAAGTGTAGAATTATTATTTCAGAAAACTATACCAACAAAAATTAATTTTGTTTATCCTTTAATGATGCAACTGAGTAAGGAGTAGCTAAAGCTCTTTGCTGGAGGGCATTTGCATGATATATAACATGCCATAAGTAGTTAAAAACTACGATTTAAATTCTTGTTGGATTTTGGTTACCTGCTAAATCTGATCTGTAGTTACCAATTATTAACCTACGAGCTACTATACCATTTAGTTTAAACAGCAGTTTGATGACATAACAGAGTCGGGAGATATCAACCGCATCATATCCAAGATAACGGATCCAGTCCGCCCATAGAAGGCCCCAGCAATAGACAGAAACAAGAGTAGCTCTAAAGCAGTGTAACAGGCCCACCTTTGGCTCCATGGAGATGAAACTATGACGGCCACGGCTAGATAAAGTGGACCTCTTGATAGTTCGACTGTGGAAGAAGTGGTAGTGGTCTTTGAGATCCCCGATCTGAAAAAACACACATGCAGAAATTAACATAATATCTTTACCTTTTACTGTAGCAGTGATACGGTAATTAAAGTCAGAAAATACCAAATATTTACTGATGAAACTTAAAGTGAACCGTCTATACACAAGTCATAAAGTCAGCTGTCAGTAATAAAAGTTGTGATATGACTAAAGCTTCATAAAACCAGGAAAATATTTAACTGTAATACTTATATTTAAAATGAAGATGGCGATGCAGAATAATCGGGGGGCAGTTGATGTGTTGATTTTAGATACAGAAGGATTTCAAGATGTTTATGTGTGCAAAAGCAGAGAGATGGTTAAATATTACAGTTTACCGGTATTACTCTAACTCTGACAAAGACATTTGGTTTTTCTCCTTTTCCCTCAACTTCAAATATTAAAACAAATTTCAACAAAAACTTTTATGCTGGGATGAAATTATTATGGATTTCACTTACAGGGTAGGGTAGGGTAGGGTAGGGCTTTATTTCTACCAGATGCAGAGGGAAACTACAAGAGCAGCAATCTGATTTCCCCAGTAAGAGACAATTAAAGATTATTCTATTCTATTAGCTGCCTAGCAGCTAATGCTACGTAGAAAACATTGTTTGTGGATTCTCGGTTTAATTGGTTACCAGCTCTTCAGATTACTCTTGGCTCTCTTCCACTTGGTTCCTCTCAGCACAGCATGCCATGACTCTGCTTATTTATCAGGGTTTTCCAATAGTTACAGCTGTATGGAACCAGAACCTTTTTTAGTACTTCCTACAGTACCAAGTGACCAAGTTGTGCTGGAAATGGGATAAACTCAGATTTTCCTTTTTTTTTTCCGCATAGCTTTTAGATCCTGGGTAGGGTTGGTATCACTTCTTGAGGAAGTCAGAAGAATCTCAGTGCAAATATTTAATTACAATATTTATAAGCATGTCACCTTTTCTTGAAATAAGAGTTTTTTCCATTGAATTCAGCAGGTAAGAAATTAAATTTGGAATAAGAGGATTAACATTTTAAATTTGAAAAACAAAATCACCCTCAATAATAATTAGGGGTGTTCCAATGCAACTTTTAATTTTCTTATACGATACCGATATTGACCAATACGATTTTAGCACAAATCATAGCAGCTTTTATTACTTTTTTTATAAATATCATAAAACAGCTGCCTTATACAAAATTAACCAATGAGTTACAGAAACCTTTAACAGCAAACATTTCTGTTAGTATCAAAGTATTCTAGATTTTAGATGCTGGCAGCTGAAATTTGATATACGTAAACCAAAAAAATTATATCAGACAGATATTAATATTGGATCAGGACAACTGTCAATGAAAAAAAATTATATAGTTGCATATATTTTATCTAATGATAGTGACTTCTAGTGGCTAAACATTTGCTACCCTAGTTTTAGCGATATTCTAGCATGAGTTTCAACAAAGCAATTTCTGACACTAATAAACTGCCGATTTTAACATTTACCATAAAAAAAAAAAGTAGTCAGAGCCAGACCGCTTTATGGGACCACTTTCTACCCTAATATGCTATATTCACAGGTCCTAATGCTTAGGTCTAATTTTTCTGATTCAAAACACTTCAGTCTGATTGGTTCATGACTCCAAAAAAGCTGCATGTTTGCCCCAAGTAGCAATGGGACCTGAACATATTTTGACTTCCATAACAAGCTAAAGAAGGTGATCAATAAATAAGAAACATTTTTACAATGGCATTTTGAGGAGCAGTGACACTTCTACTTCTGTAGAGAAGCCTCTGTGAATATGAGGAGTAAGTTAACATAGAAGTGTGATGAAATGTGACATGACCATACAGACTGCAACAAAAACTTTTAGACACTACAGGATATACATCCAGCTAAATACCACCTATGGAAGTAGCAAAGCTCAGTGTTTTTGAGAGATGAAAAGGTCAGAATTGGACCAATGAAAGAGCATTTGACAAGTATGGGTTAGGGGTTGCATATGGGGAAAGAAGAAAAAAGATTTGGGCTACCTGCCAAAGAGTTGCTAGCACAGCGCTTTAAACTTGTTAGTTGGTTTCACTTTTAATTTGCCAATTTTATCCTAACAAACCAAAATAAAACAGAATATGTCAGCATCAATAAGGGGTTTGATTCCTGTTTGCAGTGCTGTTGGTATACAAATAAAAACAAACCTGTCTGGTACTCACTAAATCAGCTTGCTGTTCAAAACAAGGTAAATAAAGACTATATTTTAGCACCCGTTTGCAGTGACCCTGGGAAAGATATTGTGATTTAGGTAGATAAACCCTCCACATTATGTTAGTCCAGATCAGTCAATTCCATCCATAGGAGGCTGTGTGTAGAATTTAGCAGTCCACCTGAAAACCTGTGTGGGGTAATTGAATAATCTCCCCAGTTTATCACTAGATTGTTCATAAAACTGCTAAGACCAATTAATTTGATCCAGATGTGGTCCAGCAGCATAAATCGAAGCGGTGGTAAAAGTACAGTCCTTGAGGAATGGCGTTCTTAAATTTGTAGATGCATCCAGACCTCTCTACAGTTGACAGTAATGTTAGCTCATCTCTTTAGAGCTCGCTGCACAAGTTTTTTTTATTCAGATAAGAACGGCAAGGATTGGAGTTTGAGACCAGTGATCTTAAAGATGTACGAGACCTGCTGTTACTGGAATCTTTTCACTTTTGTCCAAGGTTGACTCTAATTTACCAAGAATGGAACTTGAACTTGTGGAGGATAAAACATATTCCTCCTCGACTTCCTGGCTGTGTGTTTGCCATTATGCTAATAAATTAAGGAAGGTCTGATCCGATGCCTATATGATTGTTTCTGATCAGATTATGACGTTAATCCCAAATGAAGAAGGAGTTTTAACATCCAGAATGGATTCGGTTTTCCCACATTCCTAGCACACAATGTATGCAACTTGAAAGCTATAAGGAGAAATATATTCTGGGAGTAACAACTAAGGTTCCTTTGTTGCTGCTTTTGTTACTCATATTTTAAGTCCTAAAGGTTTAAAAAATAAGAGCAAGGAAAAGTTAAAGAAATTGTTAAAAAAAAAACTGAAATTAAGTGAAACGTTCTTTGACTGACATTGGATCGTAAACAGGTAACGCAACGGTTAACAGTCGGTGAGCTGCTGTAAGGTGAGAATTCTTAATAATTGATTAAGAGCATCCAATCCCTCAGATGATCAAACTGTCATGGCCCCCATGGCTCTAGTGGTGCATAAGAGCTCCACCACCACAGAGTCGATTGGATTAGCTTTCAGCTCTAACATACGCCAACATTTTCCGGCTTGCACTGAGAAGAGGAACGAGCAACTCCAAATAAATCCAAATCTTCGCCTCAAACATGTCCTTATCACCTCTCTTTTTTTATCTTTAAAGGCACAAATTATCACCGTAGTTATGACAACCTGTGATCACAGGCGCACATGCAGGTCCGTTACCTCTGCAGGTAACAGATGTTATCTGCATGGAACAGTCGCAACAGACAGCTACTAGTTCTCAATAGAAACAACAGAATAATCTGGAGACTGGGTGGTTGTAAGGAAGTGCGTGCATGGATGATATTCAGTGCTTTATAAGCTTGATTTTTCCCCAGATTAATTAAATTTTCATCTCACCTGCAGAGTACTCTTGGGAACTCAAACAAAAACAAACACATTGCCTCAAAATAAAACAAATATAACAATTGTTTAACAGCTCAACATGAAGATTTCGGTTTTAATCTGCAGAACTCTGGACAGTGGAGTTCTGTTGTATCATATTTTGCATATCTTGGAAGTAATCCTTAATGTCTTAATATATACATTTTTTTTTTTTTTATGTGATAGAGAACCATAAGGATATAGGACACCATAGTCAATTCTACTCTGAACAATTCTCAACAGCCCAGGTGAAACAATATAACCCAAGATCAAGAACAAAAGAGACAATTTTAAACTCTTTTCCAGACCTGGAATTTGCCTTGATTGATAAAACCAGAATCTCTCAGTTGTCCAGCTGCAGGACAGTTGTCTGAAGTCTAACAGCAGTAGATCTAACTCCTCGTTAGCTAAAAATAAAACCTAAATTTTTAAGGAGGGATATTAAAAAGTCCAGACTATATGGCTTGACCTTAAACAGACATTTTGTACTGAAAGAAAATCCACTATTGCGTCTGTTGTTGTTGCAAAAAAGCAAAACAAATCTATGACTCTCTTTTGACCCCCAGTCAATGTTCCTGATCTGTGTCGCCTCTAAACAACCTCCTGCTAGACATTTAGACTTTTATTGGAAGCACACAACATTTCCCGCTTAAAGCAGACTATGATTACATTAAAGAAAACCAAGAATCTTTATTCTCAATATAGAATTTAATAAAACATAGACAAAGAGATGGGGGGAAAAAAACACAAAAAAAAATACTTTTTGTGTCTAGAGGGGAGTGCTTGCTTTGCCAGCTCTGGAAAAGAAACTGTACAGCAAAGCATAATGATCTGTGAAACTAAACATCCAAAGATGCAAATACATTTGTTTTAATTCTAAACAAAAGGAAAAATGCACAGTTTTTAAAAATGGTATCCCCTTCTTTCTTCCTTTGAGGTACGTTATTTCTTTATTTGGGCAAATTATTTTTTCATTTCCCAGATCAATAGTCTGAAAATTATCACACATCTGAAGTCTAAGAAAACCATTCCCTACATGCAGTCTCCTTCAACAGAGGTTCTGCATGGAAAATCACAACATAACATGCTCCAAAGTCTAACGACCTCAACAAGTATGTTTGTGCTTGTATGGAGGGGGGGCTGGAGCATGTGGCATCAATGTAAACTGTACGAATAACCATCCTGAGCCGTTATTGATCTGAGGGCCTCCAGTCTACGTCTGGCTCCAAGTTATGACCGTCCTCAATAGGTTCCACATCCTCTCCCACTTCTTCTAAACACCAATTTAAACTGACATCCACATTTGGGGCCTCATCAGCTGATTTAGACTCAATTTGGGCCAGTGTCTTAGACTGGGAAGGGGGCTCCACGGCTAAGAGGATTACCCAGAATTCCCAAACGAGGTGCTCTAGTACTCCATGCCAACTCCTTTCGTCTATCTATGGTGCTCGCTTTCGATCCCTTGTTTTGCCATCTCTCTCAGTGTGTGCTTATCTTTGTCTGATTTCCTCTTCCCAACCCAGGAAAGAAGAGCATATTGTCCCAATGCTGCATTTTTTTCCCTTCCCATCCCCCCTTTGTATTCCTTTAAGCACTTGATCCCACGCACAATTAAACCCCTCTTCTAATTTAGCATGCATATCATTGTTTTATAGTTTATCCCTGGTTACCAACTCAGGCTCTAACACTGGTAAAACTTGCACATAAAATGGAATAATAAAAAAAATACATTTTCTATTCCCTAAAGTATGTTCACATTAGTATAAATGTTGTTCTGATAAGAAGGCTGAGGGCCGACAGAGATGTCAGAGTTCACATTAAGCAACCAGAGCGTGCTGCTATCAGTCCCCTGGGAGCGGCTTTCAGATGACCCCAAAATAAGGAAGTGGAGTGAAACTCTTGTCTATGAGGTGTCAAAGTCCAATGAGTACTCCATATTGAGATGGAAATCAGGGCGAACAGCGGGGGTTGGGGGCGCCAAACCACTCTAGTGGGGAATTCCTATGTGCAGGGTGGTGTAGAGGGGGTGGTATGGAAAAATTGGGAGTGTGTGTGTGACTGAGAAAGGGGGTGCAGGGGGTGGGGTGAAGAGATTCAACACATTAGTTGCTGTCAAAGAGAGGGGATAAACGAGGCCATTAAGGCCTGCTCTTGCCGGGAGTATGGTGGGTGGGCAGGCTGGGTAAGGTGGAGAGGGAGGGGGTGGATGGGGGGATTCAATAGCTGTTGACTAGGCTACCCCACAACAACCTGTCAGAATGCCCCCCTCCCCATGTTCTGTGTTGTCTGCACACCCAACGCTGGCAAGTGCAGGCATGAGCTGACCATGTATGATGGTGGTGCTGGAGTGTGTGTGTATGCGTGTGTTGGAACCACATTTCTTTGGCCGGCCACAGTGTTTAAACTTTGTTGAAATACATGTACGGACAAAAAAAAATAAACACAAAAAACAACCTACTTCCTCTTATAGTTTTTTATCTCTTAATTCAACCTCTCCTTTTATTTGTCAACTTTATTTAACTAATATAAATATTTAAAATCTTTTAATTAAACAAAGAACTGGCATTAAGGCAGCTCTTGTAAAGTAAATCATTATAAAATCAGGGTCAATTTAAGAAAATATGTATACATTTTGTTAAAAAAAAAAAAAAAAAAAAAGGGAGGGGGGGGGGGGGGGAACGTGTTAAATGAAAACTCTTTTTAATACCAGAGCAGCGTTTTGAATGTTTTCCCTAAATTGACCTATGGAGTTAGGCTTTAAGTCTGTAAAGTTAAGAGGCCTCCTTTCCATCACCCTAATCTTCAGCTTCCTCCATCACATTTAAATAAGAACTCTGGCACTCAAAAAAAAGAAAACATAATTACTTCCATGTCGGTCAATCACAAGGACTGTGAATCTTCTTAGGATATAAAATATTTTGGCATTGACTCAAACTAAATAATTTAAATGTAAGTCAACATTTTAAACAGAATTATGTTTGAAATTAATGAAGAAACCCGGTTTCAGAAGATATGTTAAATCATCTGATAAGATATTTCTCAGTGTATGACATAAAGAGGAGTAGAAACACTAAACATAAGAACATATTGTGCTATTATATATACATACATATAAAATGGCTTATTAAGAATAAAAAGATTATCCATGGGAACATCATAGTTTAATATGTCTCACATATAACCTGTATAGTATAAAAGTTTAGTCAGTGTCACTCTGGAAGTGTGGGTGTCCTGAGTCCAGAGACAAACGGCTCTGCCTGCTTCAGGTTTTAGTCAGAGGGGAGAAACACAGCAGACAGCTGGAAGCGACGCTCAAAGCAGCTTCACGAGTCCCCTGAATTAATCTGTGGAAACCCAGCGAGGAGGCACCTGTTGTGCCATCCTGCTCCCTGACTCCTGGTTCCCTGCAGCTCCGCTCTCCTGGTCTGAGGTCCGGAGAGACGCAGCTTGAGTTTAGAGATGCATTCTGCTTCAGGTTCAGACTCTAACCCTTCTTTTTTAAACGTCCCGCTTGTTTGAGTTGAAGAAAACATGAATAAATGACAGAACTCTGTCCAGCGCAGTCTGTGCCTTACCTGTCCCATGTTCCTATAGCCATATTTATCCGCTATTCGATCAGCCACCTCGGGTCCGCCGGCTATCCTGACTGCCCAGTGGTTCGTGTAAATCCGAGCTTTGCACGGCGGGGACGCAAAGCTGAGACAGAGCGCCAGGACGCACAGGAAGCTCCTTCTCCAAGCGGCGTTGTGGACCATCTTCCCCCACTTCTCACCAGATTCTTCTTCTCCACCTTCTCCTCAGCCGACCAGGCAAACAACCAAACTTCTCTCCTCGCCGAGCAAGACTCTCATAGAAACGGAAATATCCGGGATGAAGGGGAGAAAGAAGAAAAAGCAAACCACTCAGAGGAAGAGAGGGACAGAGTGGGAAAAAGCTCCGAAGAGGGGAAAAAATGCACCTTCTCTGCAAACCTCTGCTTTCCACATGGGAGAGTTGGAAGTTGGTCTACCCTCTCACTCTGCTCCTCTTTCTCTCACTGTTTTTTCCGCGGAGGAAGAGGAGGAGGTGTGTGCGTGCGTGCGCCGTGCGTAATCACGCGCGAGTTGGTTCGCATGTGTGCGCGCGCCCGCGGAGATTCTCAATGCTGACTTCCCTTCACCAACTCCTCGGATGTTGGTCGCTCAGCGCATCATGCTTTCATGTGGCGAAATGGCTACAGCGCCTACCCGCAAATAACTGGCTGACAATCCGGAGAGTAGAAACAACTCCAGCCGCGGGGTTTCTCTCCCGACTCCGCTGGGTCTTAAAGACACCCAGATTGTTGGAAGCAGCAGACGCAGCTCAGTAGAAGGTTTAGGGCAGGACGGGGGCCAACTTCAAGGGCTTCATCCAATAACGCCCTACCGACTGAGAAGTGTAACATATATCTAAGCAATGCTTTTTTATTCCTATATTAAAGTGTTTTGGGGTTTTTTATTGTACATTTGGAGAATCAAATTGTGGGCTCTGGAATTGTTGGGATGTTGACCAGAGGAGAATAACATAGATTATAAAGATATAGATGGTTTTATTCCATTTTATTCTTTTTTTTTTTATGTTTACACCCAGTGTGCTGCATGGTGGTGAAGATGGCTGCATTGGCAACAGGAGGTCTAACTGTTGTCTAACCTAGAGGTGAATGTTCCTTACAAATTTAGAACTGGTATAAGAAAAGTAAACAGGCTGTATTTATATGTTTTTATTGTAATGTTGTTTTACAAGTTCAATAGAAATGCAAAGTCCCTTTACCTGTTGGCCTCTCCTCATGGAGTGTTCTTCTGGTGCATGCATGGTTTCTCTCTATAGGCACCCTGGAAACATATCATGACTCTTAGTTCAAACAATTACTCTAAGTTTAGGTCAAGGGTTTACCTTGGCTCTTGATCACTTGAGATATGCATCAGACTATACCAAGACAAACTGGTATAGATGATGGTTGGATGCTACAACACAGAAACAATCAACATGTTTTTTTGATAATGCCGCTGTCAAAGAATCAGTCTTATGTACCTTTCTGAGCCCTTAGTCCTGCTGCATCTGCAATAAATACATTCATGTGTTGCCACATAAGCTTAAAGGTGACATTGTGAACAAGAATTTTACTTTATCCTCTGTGGATGATTTCTTTTACATTATGCTGCAACAATACATTACCTGACAAAACAGTCTGTGGAGGAAGAAGGCTTATAATTTAGATTTTATTTCCCTCAGAAAAGGATTTTGAAGAGTAAATCATAAACAAATAATCATTGCCATTTTGGGACACTGATGGAAGAAATAGTTTGCATATTTTCAATTTATCAAAGTTAGTAAAAAACTATTTTGCATCTGAAATCTCACCAGTAAACAAGTTCTTTTGCCTCTGCTGTGGAAGGCAAGCTTGGTCTGTCTGCAGAGCACTATTGACACAGACATACCAATGTAAAGTTAGGTAAACTGTGGCCTCCAACTCATTCACCATCCAGTGAAAATCAGTCATACATATAAAACAGAAACATCTAATTATTCTTATTTTCTAGAAAGATACAGGATCAATCCCTTTGATCGCCTATGGAGGACTGTTTCATTCATATAGCCTGTAGGAGAGAATATTCATTTAGGAGGAATTGTCAGCTAATAATCTCTTGACCTGAGCACTACTCAGGTGTCTTCACCGCTGGATTATTTTCACAGCATCGTTGCTAGTGAAACCCTTGATGTCATGCCCCTCATCAGGGCGAAGATCCCAGCTGACTAAATGCTGTCATCATGGAATGTGCTTGCCATTATGCGCCGCAGAGCCATTCATTCAGGCGTCCTTTGTTGACTGATGGCTTTTTGTTTTGTAGCAATTTACCAGAGTTGTTTAAGTGCAAAGCAAAAACTCTGCTACGCATGGTACACAAGTAAAAATCAGCCTAAATGCAGTAATTTGAGACAGATTCTTGTTGGATGGACGCACCATCACATTTCACAACATCAGGTAGGACAAGTTCATATCATGTACACAGAGGCATAACTAACTTCAGTAATAGTGGTTTCCATTTTTTATTTTATTTTTTTCATTTGGGAGAAAAGAAAAAAAAAATCAAAGATATGGACAATTTAAATCGAAGTACCAGGAGTTCAGTTTTTCCCTTCAGGTTCTGAGTGGTGGGATATGCTGTGCAGTGGCTTCACAGCTTCCTGTTTCCCAGGGGAGAATGAACTGTGTGAACCCCAACAAACCATCTTTGTCTTCATCTGAGAGCGGAGCGATCACAAGTGTCAGCAAACACTCTTAGGGGCATTCCTGTGTGCATTCCAGCGTCTCAATAAAATAACAGAGGGAATCGTCCATATAGCCAACGCACAGAATCCAGTGAAACATTACAATGGAGTACCCCCAGTGAGAAACTGCATCCAAGCAGTTTTATTCTCTGTGGCTAATTTGTTGGTTCAGTTTCAAGCTCAGCAGGTTCAGCATTGAGAGAAAAACGTGGTCAGAAAAGTGAACTCCTCTGTAAGGCTGTGAGCCACTGTCCATATCATTTAGTAATGGTTCAATTATGGCTTTACACTACTAAAGTGATTTTTTAAATATATATATATATTGTTTGATCATCTCGTCTTAGAACAAGACATTGGGTAAAACTTGTAATTTGCAGTTGCCAGAGGTCCTTCCTCCACCATTATGGTATCTGTGTTTGTGGGTGGGCTGCTTGAATATATGGCCTTTTAACTTCAGTTGAGCTTTAACCTCGTTGCTGTAGGCTCCAAACAATAAATCCATAATAGCAATTGTCACTCAGTTCCACTTTTTCTCAGTTTCCTAATCTGACATATTCTACAGTTTTTAAAGGCTACTGAAGTTATGCTGTTGTTTCTTCAAGCCAAATAAAAAAAAATTACTTTACTTAAGATTTAATATATGTATTAGAGTGAGAAGAGAGCCAACCTCGGCCCATGGATTAAAGTTTGAAGTTGCTCATGAGTAATTGCGGTATACTGCCACCTGGTGGTCTTTTATGGGTTACACAAGTGGCTCAGAGTCTAATTTCAGCTGTTGGTTTCATATTTTAGGTTGGAGATTAAGTGCTGATATCTGTTATAATCATCAGAGGCCAAAACTGTCCAGGTATGAGAATACCTGGACAGTTCTTCATAAAATATTGAACATATTTCTTTCATTTTAACCAGCTTAACATTAATACTTTGAAAATGTTTAATGTAATTGTGCAAACTGAAACTCAGATTATATAGATTTGTTTACTTGGAGTTAAAGATTTTAAGCTTTTATTTATTGTAAAATAAAATAAAAAGCTTCTTTTCTTCACAATAGCTCACCACTCATTGGGCTTTAAGCCAGAATAGTTTGCTGGCCCATCAAGCACAATGACACAGAGGTTATTATTTGTTGTGCTAACTGGACTTCAGGAACCACAGTTGATCAACAGGAGCAGAAAACAGATGAGTATTATGGACACTGGGCAACAGGGTGATTTTCTTTCCTCCTCAGTCTACTACTGAAGCCAGAATTCATCTCTGGGTGGTTGGCATTGTTCATCATGCAGGCTTTTGATATGTTGACTGCAGCCTCATCTACTCTTTGTGAAGGTCCCCTTTCTTGTATTATTCCTCAAAATCCTTTCATGGCTGCTGTTGGCTCTATTGCACATTTTCCTTCCAAACAATTTTCTGCAAATTTCTTTGTCAAATCTTTTAAATCCTAGTGAATAAAAAAAAAAGAAACTGTCACATTATGTACATCAGTTCCGATTCTTTAGTCTACTGACCTTTAAAGCAGGGGTCTTCAATATTTTCCAGGCTAAGGACCCCCAAACCGATGTCGAGATGGAGAAGGGAAGCCCGAATTATATATATTGTATGAAATTGTGTTATATCAAACTGGTCCTATAATCACTCTTATTACAGATGGAGTCATGTAAAGAAAGTAAATCTCATCCTGGGATTATTAAAAGTATTTGATTCGTTGAACGGACAGGTGTTGTGAATGAAATGGTGCCCAGCTTGAAAGAGCTGTGTGTCGCTGAATGTGTGCATTGATGACTGAAAGACCTCTTCTGCTTCCATTTATCTGTTTACTATAGTGTGTTGAATTCATGTTAATGTGTATTTAAAGACATTTCAATAAGTGGAAAAAATTGCAGGGTGGAATATAAAAAAAAAAAAGTCTATCAATCAAAACTTTCGCAACCCCTTTGAAGACCTCGGCTTTAGAGGAGTCTTTCCAGCAGAGGGGATTCAAATGATTGATCCTCCTCTGCATGCTGCAAGACCTTTTATTAAACAATTCATAGTCCAGAATATCTGGCATCAAGTACATGCCTAAAATATGAAGGACAAGGGTCCCTGAAGAGTAGGGTTGGGGGCCACTGATTTGCAGACCCAGGTATTCTCACAGGTGGTTTGACTTATTCTAATTAAGGCATGACAAATGTTTCCAATATCTGAAGCAGACATCCCCAAAGTTGGGCCTCGAGGGCCGCTGTCCTTCAGGTTTTAGAAGTTTCCCTTCGTTAGCACAGCCGATTATGATTGCAGTGGATGAAAAGCGTGTTAATCAGCTTTCAGTTAAAAATCAGCTGTGCTGGAGCAAAGAAACCTCTACAACCTGCAGGATGGCAGCCCTCAAGGACTGAATCAGGGGATGCCTGATCTAAAGATTCACTCCATGTTTGAATTCTAGGAAGTCCAAAGTATTTACAACTAAAGCCAATGTGAAAACTGGCAACCACGAAAATAAGACAAGGCAAAAAGGTTGGAACTCTAACTGCTCAGAACTTTATTTTGAGAGAAATAAGGGTTAAAATTAAATTAACATATAAAATTTGGTTGGGCAGGTCTGGTCTGTAGTTTTTAAAAAGGGGAGGTATACACATGGAGGGAAGGCAGCTTCCAGGACAGAGGGAGAAAGGCTGGAGAAGAAACCAAATAAATCTAAGAGGATGACTTAGACATGTATAAAAAAAGAAAAAAATAAAGAGACAGATGCAGTTAGTCATTAGAAACCCCACCCCCATCTGAAATGTCCTCATATGTGATCAGTGCTACTGCTCTCTCCTTTTCCTTTTTCTTCCAGGAGGATCATATTATTATTTATCTTCACTCTAATATAAGGTAATGTAACAATTTTTCCTGCAGTTTTGAAAAAGTAAACAAAACATCCTTCAAAAATAAAATGCGGCAACCACTTTATGTTCTACTATTACATATACAGTATATATATATTTATATATAAATACATA